CTGGAATCCCTTGTCCGGCGACAACCGCTGTCTCTTCGCACTATTATTAAGCCACGCTAACATTTTCGAAATGCTAACGTTATGTGATGTGTTTTCTGCTCTAGTCTATTGCAGCGGCGCGTAATAGATGCGTCCGGCGGCATCTCATAACGCATCTAGGTACGTTGGGCATATTTGTTGTCATGCGTCATGACGTGCGGCCGGTGGCTGAGTACAGGCCCAATTCAAGCACTGAACGTGCACACATGGAAGCCGAGCAACCTTTCCTGTGGGCACGGGGCAGCACCAAATCAAATTTTAGCCACCTAAAAACAATTATATAAGTCTAAGTGTGCGTTATATTTAGAATATTTTCGTCCAGTCAGTAATTTGCATGTTCTGTCAGGTCAAATGAAGCTTTTTGTCAAAGGAATGGTGGCTTTAAAGAGAATCTAAATAGCTTCATTTCCCTTATCTTCAGTGCCGGTGCCCTGACTCTGGATTATAAATCTCACGCAACCCCCGCAAACAAATCCGACCTATCCCTTTAAAGAAGTGGTGAGGCGAGACACTGAATGGGTCCCTCCCTTTAATGAGCTGAGGCTTTATTTATGTTTGCTTGATGGAATGAGTGGAATGTTGCAGAGCCCACGGGATCTCTGGTGTTAGGACATCAGCAGGAGTTTCTATTGTTTCACTCAATAAGACGTACAGGGTGGATGTCACATCATCGTCGTGGCTGGGATCTCTGAAGGTATTTTCATCTCGGTTTTAGCCATAGAAAAACAGGTCCTGGTTCTGTTATAGCAGGACAGCTATGGGCTCATTTAAGAGACTTACTTGCACTCGGCTAGGTTTCTTTATTTTATGGTTTCAGCTTCTTTAATGTGGGAAGTGACTGCTCTTATCTCTGGGTTTTCATGTGTTGTATTGATAAAGCGAGATGTTTCAATACGTTTCCTGTTTTTTATTCAGCTAACAATTCAAGGAATAATTGAAAAGTGTATCTTAAGCAATAGGCTTTACTTATTTTTTTCCAGGCCTATTTTATAATATCTACAGATAACCAGGATTTTGATCTCTTTGAAATCTTTTACTCTTTCTTATCACATGCCTTTTTTTTTACCTTCTATGCTCCTTTTGCTGTAACACTGTAAATGTCCCCGCTGCCGCACTGATAAAGGAAAATATATACTTTTTAAATACTTCATAAGGAAATTCACCCATCTGATTTTTATATAGACAATTTAATTCACCTGAAATCAGTCAACATCTAATACGAAAGTTGGCACACTTGTGGTGGTGAAGCAGGGCTGGATCTTCTCATGTCAAAGTCAACATTTGACTGATTCTCTATCACCCTTGTGTAAATAAGAGGATCAGGATAGCAGCAGGCATGGTTTATATTATTATCTGTACGTTTCAGAACAACATGTTTAATGTTGAAACAGGTGGTGTTTGTTTTTTGAATTCCAGTTGACCTTCCTATGTGACACTCCGCTTGTTTTATCCAATGCTTCCTGGTGGTTGATCAAGCCGAGGCTCACACTGAGTTCTCCCTCTGTTACTGGGTCAAGGTTGACTCAGTATTTGTCATGGGCCATTAATCACTGGTCCTGAATGCTATATATAATGCCTACTATATTTATATATGATTGAGTTCCTGTCCAGCATGTGGAAACATTATCCTGAGTAAAACTGCAGCGTCTGCATCTCGAAGGTGTCAAAGCAACACGGCGTGTGTGTAAGCTCTGATTTAATTGCGTTTGTCTTGACATTTGACACAGATGGAGGCCCAAAGCTCCAGCGACATGCTGCTGTCCAGAAAGAGGAGGAGAGAGAGCTCCACCCGGGACACAGAGGAGGGCGAGAGGCTTGTGAAAGTCCCCAGATGTACTGTGGTGAGTCAGCTGTGTTCTTCGGCTGTCATTGAGCAGCGTGTTGTCCAGCAGTTTCTATTGGCTCGGTGTAGCCAGCTATGACTGTCTCTCTCTATCAATATATATATATATGTGTCTGTATGGATAGCTCAACTTACTAGAAGAACGTTGAAAAATGAAATTCACATTCAGTGTATTAAAACATTCTTACTGTATCTGCTATGTGTCACACGTTCTATAACACTAACAGCATTTATTCCCAAATCAAATTGTTGGGGGAAGAGAAAATTAATCACCAAGGTGTCTTGTTATAATTTTTGTGTGAATAAATAACAAAGTGACTTAATCACTGACATATTCCACTTCTTTTGATTCGGGTCTTTTAGGGATTGAAGCACCCTGCGCCTTTTGCAGATGAGCTGGAGCCAGTGACTAAAAAGCCCTACGTGAGGGTCAACATGGAGGAGGCGAAGAGGGGGACACATCGTGAGTCTTATTCCTCAGTCTGTCGGTTAATATGTCTACTTATTGCCTCCTGATCCTTTGACCTTTGACCCCCAATATCAGTACACAACCTCTCAATATTGAATATAGTCATACCAGTGGCGAGCCGTGACTTTTAAGGCCCGGACACATCCATCTGACAACAAAGAACTGACACAGACGGACCCCAAATGTTGCGTCGCCTCGCGTCTCTGCGTCTTGGCCATGTGTCGCACTGGAACACGGCGCAAAGACTTCAGCCGACGGCCAAGAAGCACGTACGAACTGCGCATGCGTGAGTGGCAATAACTCTCCTTACCAGCAGGCGGTGGTAGTGTGTATTCGTCATTCAAAAGAGGCAACAACCGGAAGAAAGACTGATAACCGAGAGAAAAGAACAGACATATATATGATATAAACAAACAACAAATAGCGTGTCCGTTCCATTTTCACTCTACAACGAGAAGCTCATGGGGCTTTCCCGAACCTTAAATTAAATTTCAGATTCGCCTTCTTAATAGTTTGTTTGGGTCCCTCGCTTCCGTTCTTTTCTCATGCACTGATTCGCTAGCTGAACAGCCAATCAGAGTGATTTATTTTGCCGACTGCCCGCCGATTCAACAATCGGCGGGCTTTTGGCCGAAAAGGCGTCGGCCCGGTTGAAAAGCCCCGACGGTGTGGGACACACCAATCTGATTAGGGCGTGTCGACGCTCATCGTCGGCCTGACGCCCACCGACGCCGATAATCGGCCTGGTGTTTCCGTGCATTTATACCTAGGCCCTCTGACCCCAGCTGATCCTTTGCCACTCCAGTTTATTATTGTAACTCAATCTTGAAAACGACTCGGTTAATAATTTCGCAACGATGTCATCATTGACATGAGCCATCATGAACGAATTTATGCTAATTATAAATCTATCGATCATAAATCTATCGATTAGATTTATGATTCGAAAATAATAAAAG